GCTTATGTGGTGCTGAGGAATCGAACCCAGGGCCTCATGCATGCAAAGGCAAGCGCTCTACCACTGAGCCACCTTCCCAGCCCCTGGACCTGAACTTTCTTTTACAACTTTCTGAATCAAGTGTTTCCGAATAGCACCACTATGAAAAATGTCACAGGGAAGAAGGTGCGCTTTGCCTGCTTTCTCTGCTTGTCTGGATAACAAGGAATCCCAACAGCTTTCACATAACCAACGGACATATATGCTCCCTGGGAGTTCCATAACTGCACAGAAGAGTCTGCTCTGAGCTAACTACTCCTGTGGGTAAAGTTCCAGGTCTAGAACTTGCAAATAGCTACATATACCAATCTTAGAATATTTTTAAAATAGCATACAAGCTGACATTATTGCTACTTAATTATTAACAGGAATACATTTGGGACTTTTTGGTGAGTTAGGAAAGGACAAAATAACAACAACAAAAATCAAAGTAAAACCTGTTAACACCACTGACATTGAACTCTTCTGTGCTGGTCTGTTTCTAAAGTCTCAGTGTGCTTAATGCTTGAGAGGAGCTCCCACAGGTAAAAGGTTTCATCCTTAGAATTGAGTTGAGTATCCTTATTAGGTTTGACAAATAAAGAGCTAGTGGAGGGAGCAGTAGACTCCAGGTCTATTACAAGGGAACTTCTTAGACTCCAGGACATCAAACTCTCTTCCCACAGAAAAACTATCAGAGATAAAGCAGTCTGGGGGAAGTAAGAGAGCTTAGAGTTGTAAGTAGTCAGCCGAACAGCTTCTTAAGGCATAATAAAAGTCACCCAGGTCAGTAGAAAACATTAGAACTCACTGTATTTGTGGATGCCTTTAAAAAACTTCTTAGATAAAAGGCCTAAGATTTCACTGTGCAACATCCAAAAGGATTCATTTATCTACTGAAAAAAATTCACTGAAGAAAGAAGATAAGTAAGGAAGCCTCCCTCAAAGCACCAGATAAGCAAGCCCCAAGGGCAATTAGACAATGTGGCTTTTCATGGGTTTCTCCTACTCTGGTGAGCGCCATCTGCAGACAGGAGAACAAACTAGCTTCACTGTTTTGAAAGGAATGCTTTAAGAAAATTAGGAAATAAACAATGTCAAATTTTCTTCAGTTTGAAACTGCAAATGCCTCCTGCTCTATTCTCCCAAGGAAGACTGTATCCTGATTTCTAATACAATTAAATCAAATGTAGGTGGACTTCTCTGAACTCAGCTTCTGTAATTTTTAGTAATCATGTTCAGAAAGTGGAAATCAGTGACTTAGGGAACTGTAACCAAAAAAAAAAAAAAAAAAAATCCAGAAAAGAAGCAAATGTCAGTGGACATACATGTCAATGGCTTTGAGATTTTTATGAAATAATATTTTCTATTTTTCTTTTGAGAAACACACAGACAAATATCCATATGGATATTTGGACAATATTCAATGTAATTATCAAAACAAGCTGGTTTTATCTGATAGGAGATTGTGCTTTGGGTGATCTCTGGCCATTGTATACAGTGACTGGATTTGTGCTTGCAGACCAACTGTTCCTTTGGATTACAAATGAGAGTGTTGGGCACTTAATCTTTTGTGTCATAAAAAGTGAATATGTTCAGACCAAGAGGACAAAGACTGCATCTGAGAGAAAGGTTTTTTAATCTCAGCAAAGTAAAATATCTTTCAATACCTACAGAAAGTGCTGTGGGCTACGAGGGCTAGAAAAGTACAGTACTGAATTGTTTTTTTGCTTCTCCTAAGTATGTACTTCAAGAAGAATCTAAGGAACGACACAGGCTGAAGATCCCTACATTTTTGAAATTTTAGATTAGGGATGCTCGACCAAGAAAGTTTATGAAAACATTCCCAATCTTCAAATCTCTGAAATCTGAAGCATTTTTGGTCCCAAGTATTCTAGTGAAGAGTCAGTCAATTGGCACTGGAATCTGACTTACACAATCCCTAAATTCCTGGGAAGATGACGGATAAAGCCAGAACCTTTTACCAGTAGAAACAGGTTTGAATAACCATCTTCTCAAAGACCTCTCAAGAAATCTGGCATGTTCACAGTCTTTCCTGGTGTAATGGTCATTGAAAGGACACTAGGATAACACAGAGATGTAAACAATACATTTTATACAAAAGCATTAGTATTT